ATATTTCGCTCTTACAGCTTGATTTGACATTGATGCAAATATTGTTATATTTTACAACAATCTTCCTACTTACCGTAACTTTGTTTATACTTAATAAGGTTTAAATTTCTATTTAGTTTTAGTTATTTTTTGTTTTGTTTTAATTTTGTGATTGCTTGTTCCCTTGTCTAGCTTGATTACGTGCTGATATAATTGATGGGTGTAAAATTTGTGATGTCATATTTTCTAGTATAATTTTATGCATACACGTTGTTTTAGAACGTATTAATAAATCAAATTTTTCCTACTCTTTACATAATTAAAGAAGAGTACCTAAAATGGTCACATGATAATCTATGAACGTTAGTTAGCATGATTTCGGAGTAGGCCTTTACCTGGGAAACATTCTTGTAAAGTAATTAGGAAATAGATATTACTTAGTTCAGATAAATAATTGTAAAAAATAGTGAAAAAAAATATGGAACTACTTTGGTTTTGCTTTTAGTTATCACGATTACTGTTAGAAATACTGTTTCCTGATTACTTTACCTTAATTCAGAAAGCCCGCCCTACCCTACATAGTTCCCTTCACTGAAGAGATTGGGTCAACTCAATCTAATTTATTTATTTATTATTTTACATTGAATGTAACTCGAACCCCGGTCTTATATCTTAGCAGATATAAAACTATATTAAGGCATAATTAAAAGTTAAATAAATTGTATCAAAAGTCATAATCCATGGACAATGCGACCTCGCACAGATAATTCAAGGCGGTCTATTTGAAGTTGCAACTTGGTATTGCAGTGCAGTGCCTCTTTATGTAATGCAATCGCATTGAACAATCATGACGTAAATGTACGACTCCGGACCGATTGTATATTTATTTAGAACTCTGTATTTACTGAAGATTAAAGTAAGAGTGAAAGAGAAAGAGAACAATTGTTCGTATTGATACCAGCAGCTGAGTTTCATCATTGAACATCCTAAATATTTCCTACTGAAATATTTCCGAACCAATTCGACTTAGGATTCTTCAACAAAAGAGCGTATTAATTCTTAAAAGGCAAAGCATTTGCGGCCCTTCTGGCAATGTGTCTATGGGCGGTATGACTTAACATCAGGTGAGGCTCCTGTCCTTTTGCTTTTCCTTTGTTTTATAAAGAAAAACTATGTTAATTTTTGCACTTGATTTGTTTTTTTTTCGTAGGGGCGACGGTCGTTTCATGACTTGTGCCTATGGCCAAGTTGCTGCCGGTTTTGATTATATATTTGTAATAATCTAAATAAATATGTTAATGTTTATCTGAATTAACACATTAAACGTTATTTATACACGATAATCTTATACTTAATATAAGATAAAAATTAAAAATTATTTAATATATTTAACATATAATATAAACTAACTAGGAGATTCCAGAGGGCCAAATTATTTCATTACTAATATAGCTATTAAAAAATGGTTGGTGGTACAAGGGTAGTACGGGTTATCGTAAAATACCAAACCATAAAACAAGAGAGTGTAACATATATGAATATATAGAAGATAACGTATGTATTATGAAAAATACGCATATTAATGAACACCATCTGTAAGAGTAAAATACGGTTGAAGCAATTGTTTGATCCTGAATATCCTTATGTCGCCATTTCTTTATTATAATGTATTTATTTATATCTTTCATTCGTTACTATTATGTTTATGTGATTTGTCGTAATACTAATGTAATGATACAATACTATTAAGTTAATTTCACGCTTCACTTGCTTTGATTATATTTCTGTTTCGAAACCCTAATTGTTTTCTAACGTAAGTATTGAAATATGCAATTCTTTTTTGTTTCTCTAGTTGCATTCTTCATTTTAGAAGGTCGGGTTCGTGTTCATTGCTTCCTCCATTCCCACCTGTCTTAAAAGCGTTTTCGTTTTGAAAGATGGCATCAGATGAGCCTCCTGCCCATTTGCCCCATGTTTTTTAAAAAAAACTTGAATTGTGAACTTTCGGATTTTTTGAAGTCAGTTAAGTATAAAAATATTATTATGAGATAACCTAAAAATGGTCTAATTAACCCGTAACAATGTATCGACCCTTAAACCTTATTGGTGATAGTGGGAATTCAAACCAGTTATTTTCGTAAATTAAGAGTTTTAATCACGAAAAGAAAAAGTTTTAAACTTCCTAAGTACTTTATACATTCTAAAAGGCACCAGCCTTAATTCCGGTACAACTAAAGTAATCTAAAATTGTCCAAAGTTTTTCATTTTTACTATAGGAAAATTTTTGAATAATTTTATACGTCTAAAATCAAAGCATGAGATAATTAAAATGAAATCGCGAAACAAATTCGTAGCGACACACAAACCTAAGTTGAAAGCGCTTGGAACGTGTTTCTAGAACTTTGTAATAGTTAAACAAATAGATTTTCTCATTAAGCACGCAATATTACTTAATTATTACATAGTATACGGTCTCCGTTACCTCTAAATAACTAATTAAATAATGTTTTAAGATTATTTAACTAATTTATGGAACCATAGGACTTACTGTAAGACTCTGAATACTCATTTTTTGCAAGTAACAATGCCAAAATCATATAGATGTTGAACCATCAGGTACTTATAACTCGACTCGTCTATAAATATCATGAGGATATTCCGGAGTTTCGCGGGAGACGCCAAGCCCACCAGACCTAAGTATAAGCAATAATGTAATGTAATATGTAGCTTCTCCGCCACAAATCTGCCTGATCGCGTATCTGATAGGCTACTATGTAGGAATATGAATAAAAATTTATGAATTAAATAATAATTATTTATATATATTAATATTATAATATAAGAGTTGTAATACATCTTACAGTGATATACAATTAGCCTGGCGTGGGAAAAAGCCAACATCTTTAAGTTACGCCAAATAAATTTGTTAGATATTATTCAAAACAATGTTTAAAAACGAACAAAAAGGAATTTCTTAAATTTTACTTTTACTCGAAATACGTTACCCTGGACTTTTACGCATACAATAAACATTGCAATATATTAACAATAGGCGTTAAAATTTTGATATATATCAAAAGTGATTTATAGCTAGAATTGACTCGGTGACCTCTACATGAGTCCTCGGTCGGCGCAGCTATGCTTGAACACATACATAATAAAATTGTCGAATTGATAACCTCCTCTATTAAAACTTTGCTAGGTTCGGTCCCTGGTGAACCAATGTTTTCCTAATAATTGCAAATGGATTAATTTGTGAAATGGAGTTTTTATGGTTTATTTAATTGTTAGTAGTAGACTTAACCAGCTTAATGCATATTGCATATTAACTGTAGACAATTAGTTGTTGTGAAAGTTGTTTATTCAATAATACAACAATGTCATGTGTGATTGATATTCAGGGGGATTAGTTTGTCTTGTCAACGATAAGGTAATCTAGATTGTTAATTATCTGTCATGTGTCAAAACTGACGTTTTATTTAAGTGCAATATTGAGTGTTTGTTAGTCTGTGGAAAAAGGCGCGTGTTTTGGCTTGTCACTTGATTTTAATGAGAAGTATTTTTGAAATATGAGTTAGATTAAATTAATTGTTTTAAAGAACTTTTATGAAATAACAAACTCTAAATATTGTTACTATAATTATTTCAGGTAATTGATACATTGCTTTACTTAAATAGATACGTTTTTGGTTCATTATAAGTATAAGATTTTTCGTATAAAATCTAAGATTAGAATAATTAATGTATAAATATATCAGCAACATATTGGATTTTCATTCATCATATATATTATATTTCCTTTGACTCATTGTTGTTCAAAAGATATTTATTTAAAAAGTTAAATTTCATATTATAAATATATTTATAATTTATAGCGAATATAAATAATATCATATGCAATTACATAGGTAGGTAAATTAATTACACGTATCTATTTTATACCAAAGATTAAATTTATATTACTTTTTCTCAGCCATCGTTCTCTTTTCTGGGCTATTACTTGTATAACAAACTTAACAAAACTCTGAATATATATCCTAAAATTTAAAAAATGTGTAAATCATAAATTTTTACTGACTTTGAACTATGACCAAACGGAAAATCTGCTATAATAGACGTATTAAAATAATTTTCACATAATATGTTCTCAGGCGTGTGCCTGTCACATACCCACACACACCCTACTAACACTCACTCACACACGCGTACATACCCTCTCCCACTATCACATTCACTCACCCTCATATACACCCATGCAACTTTTAACAACTATTATTCTCTCCAAGGTACTCTTTTTAAACTTTAAATCTGAAATAAACTACAACAATATCCAAGAATCTGCGGAACATTATAAGATAGAAGCAATAAATATGGATTGCTTGTATCAAGAATTCCAAATAATCAGAAAAAAACCTGAATATTGTTAATACAACTTCTGATTGCAAGAGTATGGGGGCGATTGAAACTTGGAAGAAAGTCATCGAAGGGTTTTCCAGTACCGAAATCTCTAACATTTTCCGAATCTTATCCTTCGTTTTAAGTATACCTAGCTCAAACTGTTCCTAATAAGTGAACTCACACACATATCACATTAAAGTGGACTGATGTGAGAAATAATTAATAAAAAGCGAGCTGATGACCGTTTTTAATTACGATTATAATTGTATTGATTATTATAAATATGTTAAATCAATAAAAATTATTTGCCCTTCGGAATAAAGATTTAAAAAAATTGTCACTATATTATTTTATTTTTTAATTGTCCCGGGTAAAAAACGAAATTCCTGTATTTTTTTGCCTATTTAAGCGATTGGCCCTTATAGGCTGGAAAAAAAAATATCGACTAGTAAGTAAGTTGCATCCAAATAAATATAAATAAGAAACTAATGCAATATTACGTAAACTTTACAGAGAAATGTCTGTCACTGCAAAGCACTGGTAACAGTTGAATCTTATCGACTCACCTTTAACTCCTGCTCGGTTCTGAATCCCTAGTACACGGCACCAAATCCTCAACGATAATGAAGGTTATTTTGAGCACTTCGGAATGTCTGATGGATGAACTTCTCAAACAGACTCAGCGGGATGGGGTAAACCAGTGCGCGTTTTCTTGCTTAGTTCTATTAATATATTCCTTAGCAATACTATTATAAAAAAGTTCGTGTGTTTATATGTTTCTGGAACTGCTAAACCAATTTTAATAAAATCTTTCATTAGTAGAGATGACTTTACCTGAATGACAAAGATCATAGCAATATATTTGATTATCCTAAATGTACCTCTCCGTGTCCACTTATCTTTATTATTGTAAATTAATAAAGATAATATGCTCCGATCTTGGTTTATATAATTTCTTGATCGTTGTGACTCTAACATGTATTAGTATTTAAGTGTCAAGGTTTTAAGGGTAACCTTATGCAATCGATATGTTAGCTCTGTGGTAAAACAAAATTATTAAAAAACTATGATTTATTGAAACTAAATTTCCCTTTGTTATTGCTCATAACAATTTGTTATTTTGTCACAAGGGTTTTTATGTATGACAGTTCTAAAAACAGGAGGAAGTTTTGTGTTTTTTTTTTAAATTGAGCCATTATTTTCTATATAAATTCCTGCAAGTATAGGACTTAATATATACAATTAAATTTTGTTGGTCAATTCGTTGTTAAACGACCTAAGATTTTGACGGCCGCATCTCGATATAAACAGAGATCGTAACTGCGCACGCGCGTAGTTCTCGCAATGTCAACGATTCGGCAGGTATGTTTTTATATTATATCATTGGGAACCAATTGTAATAATGAAGTCTTTATTTTCCTTCAAAGTAACGAATAGTATCTATATTTGTTATCCAGCCTGTCTGAAATTGCAAGCTTTTATTAATTAATTAATTTAAATCTAACATCAGTTTCTAAAGAGAATTATAAAAATAAGAATGTATCGAAAATTCTAACACTTGTTCCTGTATGTATTTTCTTAATTTGCCTTAATTTCACATTTCCCTTATTTACTTTTTTATTAGTTGTGGTGTCAAAAAATTGAATATTCTTGGGCTGCGTATATAACGTTTAATATTATAGTGATTCGCTTTGAATTAACTAATTCATTTATATTTAATTATTATGATGAAGCCGCACTACTGCTTTTGCTTGATTTAATATGTCTTATAATATTATAACAGGTTTCTATATTATTAAAATTAAATTAAATACACAGCGTGAAACGTACTTGCGATGTAGGCCATACAGACATTGGATAGCAAATGTTTGTGATGATATAACCCACATATAATATTATGTACCTAATACATATGAAATAATTTGCAGTATCTATATTGTGTAGTGATGTTTTTAATTCAATTGTGTGAAAAAAAATCTGTAAATAATGCAAATACCAATGGATGGCGTTAACGTTGCCATAATCATAATATTAAATATTTACCTTGATGTGACAGTCACCATTGCTGAAAATCCCTCAAAACATCGACTTAAGTAAATGTGAAATACATAATTTAAGAACTACTTTATCAGTTAATATCTGATAAAGAAGTTTTAGAATTAAATAATCATATTTGTGTAAGCATATTGGATTTAATAAATATTAATTGAAACAGCTGTTATCACACATGGAATATAAATGTGTGTGTTTGTGTGAATACGTATGACTTATTTGCGTTCTCTGCTAGTTCATGAGAAGCTTTTGACCTCTGAAAGCAAGGTCTTAAAAGCCTTCATAACACTTCCCGATTTAAATATCACGCACATGTCCTTTGATTAATATAATACAATATTCATTTGGCCACTTTTAAATTTATATAAATATAATGTGCATGTTATATAACATGACCTATGAATAAAGTTAAAATCATTATATTTTGAGTAATAGCAAACTAATTTGTTAACTGAAAAATATCTTAACTGTGGGTTACTTCTCAAATTAAATGTTCTTTACTTTTTTTATTGTTTTTTACATAATACCCAGACGATGTAGTCGTCGGAAGTATTAAATTGGAATTGGTAACCCGGATGATTAAAACACTACTACTACCTATTACTTTTAACAAATTTTTGTATGACCTTTACAGCAAATCGCAAAAAGATGCCTCTTAACCTAATGTTGAACATTATTTCCTTTAAATTTGTCTTTGTTACTTTTATGTTCATACCTTGCTCAGTGTTATATTATGTTCTTTACTTTAAACAATATACATAATGTTTAAACTAAACACTTTCAGATCGCAGTGTTTCTCTGTTGCTTAGTGGCACTCGCCTTAGCAGCACCGAGAGCAGATAGTGGTGGGCAACTACCACTGCCCGCACCTGGCATTTCCTACGGTAATTATCATCCTTATTTTCCCACTAATTACTTTTTTGTATGCTTATGATTAAAAATAGAGAGATATTTTCTTCGCACGCCAAATCTATTTGTTTTCTAAATCTCATGAAAAATATGCCAGCCTATATACTAGCCTCAGGTATAGTATTTCTAATAGCGAAAGAAATGTGGAAATCAGAGTTTATTGATTACAAACATACAACATTACAAATCTTTACTCTTTAAAGTATTAAGTAGTATAGATTATGAAATCAAATCAATAGACTGTTCATGCCTTCGCTATTTTCCAAGATATTGTCAGTAATTGTCGTTCCAAGTCGTATAAATCCATACAACAGGTTTTTATCTTACAATACTAGTACCATAAAATCGGGGCTTATATAAAATCCCTAATGAATACTTATAAATAAAAATGAGTTATGGAAACTATTTTCATTAAAATTTTGTCACAGATAAAATCAATATTCACATTGAAATTATTTTTTAAGATGTTAAAATAGACGCCTGCCAATTACTAACGAGCAAAGTGTTCCGAAATGACAACTACTGAACCTGCATTAGATCAATGTATACTTCACGCTTATACTTAAATAAATGAATAGAAATTCCTTTAAAAATAGAACCAGCTCTGTATCAACTAATAGAACCTAATAGAATTACCAAGATAATGTAATTAAAAATACTGCTGTGTGTTTGCTTTAATCACAGTTCTTCTTTTCTAACAATACTTGGCGATTAAAAAGAGTGGCGGAAAGGTTCTTGCCAGTTCTTCTTACCCGCTCTACGCCCTTGACTTGCGAACTGGTAGTAAATGTAAATTTACAATTAATTTAACTTCTTTCTGACAATTCATACTTGTTTACCTACATGAATAAAGATATTTTGAGTTTGAGTTTAACATTTTGCCAACATTTCAGGAGGCATCCCGTACGGCAGTATGAGTGGCAACGTTGCAGAATACTTCAGACAACGTTCATCTGGTCTTTACAGCGACTATGGTGCTGTACAACAGTATTTATAATATCTATGTGTAAGCCCTATGTAAATTAAATTAAGAACTACATATTAATTAATTATATAATTTATTTAAATAAAATACATAAAAGAGAAGTTTCTAATTTTATTCGACTTGATCCAATCTATAATATAACAAAGTTTAGCAATTTCCAATAACATACTTCTGTAATTTTAATGTAGTTCGGGACTCGGAATTTCTTCAAATATTTCAAATAGTTTTCTGTTATGATAAACATTAATTAGGTGCTACAGTGTTCTTGGGATAAACTTAATGTCAACATTATCAAGCCTCACTTGCACAGGTTGTTTGCGATATCTTATCCCTCCTTCCTTTATAATAGCTTTCACAGTGAAATGTCGCAGTAAATGAATGATACCAGCTTTTGTTTGAAGGGTTGCATACCGCATACCTGCACAAATCCTATTTCCTCTTCCGAACGGCATATATGTTGTATCAGATATTTTATGCTTATTCTCAGGAGAAAATCTTTCTGGATTGAACACTTCGGGATCGGGGTGATATTTTTCATCATGATGAATCTCATATACGGGAGTAAATATTCTAGTTCCTTTTTCTACTTTTAAATTACCAACTGGAAGCATAGAATCTTGAATACATTGTCTTCTTAAGAAACCTATTGGCGGATGTAATCGCAATGTCTCAGAAAACACCATATCAAGAAATTTCATTTCACCAATAATTTCATAAGACATTTTATTATTGCACTTATCGAATGTAATATCGATTTCTTTGTGAAGCCTTTCTAAATATTCGGGATACTGTCCTAATTCAATCAAAGTAGAAAATATAACCGAAGCCGTTGGTTCAACGCCAGCAATAAAAAAAAAGAATGCTTGAGCTGCTAAAAGTTCGTCTGTAGGTTCTAATTGAAGGCCTGTGTCTTTGTCGATCATTATTCCAGCATTTTGTATCTGGATACACAAATCCGCAAAATCATGTTTCTTTTTGTTTTCCTTTTCTCGTTCCCTTAGTACTTGCTTGATTGCATGGATAAAAAACTTCTCGTGGTCTTTAAAAATTGCAATGTCTAGGGTTTCAAATAATGATGTACTGATATTTGCTAGGGCAAACTTAAGATCAGTGATTAACGTGGACTTAAATGCTTCCCGGGCCATATCGAGAAAGGGAGAATCGAAAATAGAGTTCGTAGAGAGACCGAAGACAGCAGCGCCTATTGCAGCGCTGGAAAATGACGAGATGGTATCAAATGTTTTGGTCTCCCAAAGGTTAGGGTTATTTTTAAGAAGTATTACAAAATCAGCAGCACTTTTATCAATTATGTAGTACATCGACTTTAATTTCGACACAGTAAATAGGGGTGTCATCGCATGACGCATCAACTTCCAACGGTTGCCTTTCATGAAGAGTATATTGTCCGCCAGTTTATCCCTTTCATTCACATCAATACCTCGGTGGTTAAAAGCATTGAAATCGGTAGACAATACATGCTGAATATTAGTTGGTTCTACAATGTATAGAGCTGGTGTTAAAAATGCGCCAAATCCAACCGCTATATCATTTCTGTATTCTCTATATAGCTCACGAAAGTTTTCAAAAAATGATTTATCCTTTGTCACATATTCCCAAAAGAGTCCAGTTACTTTGTTTTTTGGATAAAATTTAATATTTCTCCTCTTCCAATAATTTTCATTGTATTTTCCATTAAGGTAAATTAGAAACAAGACGAAAATACTAAAAAGTAAAACTAGAGCCACAAACATGACTGATGTTTACACATTAAATATAATCGTGCCGTTGGACCACTTAGCACCTAAAACGACATTTTTATTACTTACTCGTAAAATATATAATAATTTGTTATCACAGTCAGGTTACATACATTTTAAACCGCAATAAATATAATACATCCTCATCCCTAATATCGATAATCACTTAAAACGAATACAAGTATCAGGCGTAGTCTAGAACGCTGTCCACGTATTTTCCTAAAAAAATAAAGGAGAGCAGAAATGTGAAGCCAAAGACCATAAGATTATTATAATTATTCCATTACTGCAAAGTAGAATGCAAAGCTTCGGTTTAGTAAACATATTTAGCAAATATCGTATTTGTTATGGACATTTTGTTCACATTCGTAACGAAAATTAGTGTATCTTATTTATACGTATAAATATTATGTTATGGTAATTTACGATAACAAGTCTAAAATGATAAGTAAAATGAACTGATACAACTTGTTTAAATTTATTTAAGCATTATCTTTAAATGTTCAAGTGACTACTTATGGGAAAATAAAATCTGTTTGTTATGCATTGATAAACAAATATTAGTAGTGGAAAATAATGATAATAAAAATATTTTTGAATAATATATTTAAAATGCACTGTAGTTAATACAATTTTAAGTCAATGTAGGGTAAGTACACAATAACGATATAACAAAAAATTATTTCTTTTTATTACTAAGAAAGATTCTTAAAATTGTTGGCTCCAACAAACTATTTCTATTTTTCTCCTTCTACTACTATCATAAGTAAAATACTAAACGTAGTCATAGTTACAATAATAATATAATTCCTTAAACACTCCAAATATTATATCTTTTTAGCTCTTGAGATAAATTCCAGATCGACATTATCCAATCTTACTTGAAGTTGCTCACGGCGGTGTTTTATTCCACCGTCTTTTATACGAGTTTTGACTGAGAAGTTATGCAGCAAATGAATTAATCCTGTTTTAGTTTGTAACAAAGCAAACCTTGTTCCAATACATTGCCTATTACCCTTGCCAAATGGTGTATAAGTCAAATCATTTATTTTATGTCTATTTTCTGGGGAAAATCTTTCAGGATTAAATAGTTCTGGTTCCGGGAAATGTTTTTCATCATGATGCCTCTCATAGAGTGGAATAAATATCTTCGTACCGTTCTCGATTTTAATATTACCTACAGGAAGAACACTGTCTCGTACACAACGTCTCATCAAAAAAGCTATTGGTGGATGCATTCTTAAAGCCTCACATAACACCATATCAAGATAAATCATATTCATTACTAATTCATAAGACAGTTCATTATTGTTTTTTCTAAATGTCTCGTCAATTTCATTTTGGAGTCGCTCCAAAATCTTAGGATTTTTTCCAAGTTCCACGAGAGTTGTAAATATAGCTGATGTTGTTGGTTCAACTCCACCAACAAAGAAGAAAAAAGCTTGAGCAGCCAAAATTTCATCAGTTGGGGTGATTTTGTATCCTGTTTCTTTATCTAATAGGTCCCCAGAGTTTTGTATATTAACACACAAATCAACAAAATCGTGTTTTTTTACATTAGAGCTTTTACGTTCTCTTAATACCTGTTTTATTGTATTAATGAAAAACTTTTCATGGTCATGAAACATAGTAAATCCTAGAAGTTTGAATAAGCCATTACTAAAAATACCTATCACAAATTTAAGGTCTTTAATAAATGTGGAATTAAAAGATTTTTTGGCAACCATAAGAAAAGGCGAATCGAAAATTGATTTCGCAGTCACACCAAATACAGCAGCACTTATAGCAGCGCTACAAAATGAGGATATTGTATTAAAAGCGTTACCTTTAAGAAGTATTGGATTGTTTTCCAGATGAATAACGAAATCCCTAGCACTTTTATCTACAATATAGAACATGGCTTTTAATTTTGTAGGCGTAAACAGCGGTGTCATATTTTGTCGCATTAGTTTCCACCTATTTCCTTTCATAAACAAAACATTATCTGCAAGAAGGTCGTTTTTGTTGGTATCCAATCCTCTGTAGTGAAAGGAGTGAAAGTCTGATGCTAATATATGTTGAACATTATTTAAATCGATCACATACAAGGACGGTGTTAAAAACGATCCTATACCAACAGCAGGTTCGTTCCGATACTGTTTATATACTTCACATACAGTTTTGAAAAGTGGAGTGTCTTTCGTTAAGAAATCCCACATAATTCCTGTTACTTTATTTTTCGTATAAAAAGCCACATTTCGTTTATTCCAATAGACTTCGTTGTTTTTACCAATAAAATAAATGACTAAAAATAATAAGGCACAAAAAGTTAATACGAGTGAAATCATTATAACGAATTCAGTTAATGGCGAACAAACTCGTTGCCCTTGTATTGCTGGTAATAAAAGTTACAATTACTAAAAATAACGACTTGTTTGTCATGTTCTGCTTAGATATGCGAGGGGTGTTCAATAAATAGTGATGGTGCGATATATTCTCTTTTAAAATAAAATCGATCAATTAGACAGACACCCCATATATTAGATATGATAATAGTAAAAAAGCTATCAAATGGTTTTGGTATTATAATAAAAAGAAGTGATTTGTTTGGGTCGTGTTGGAACGCGTTCTGAATATTTCTGCTTGATAAATTTTATTACGGAGCTAGTAAACAAGCGCAACATTAGGGGTTCATACTCTGTGTGCTGATTCAATCGAGGAGGAATTTCCAGTAACAACGACCGCACGGTACATCGGTAGTAAAATAAATGATTTTAATCAAGCAAGTTGAAAACATTGCTTTGGCGGTTCGTCGTGCTACTTTTTGTTTTATAGATGAAGAAATGAAAATACTTATTAGAAGTCTCTTTAATATTTTAACAAACAATTATGAAAAAAGTGACAGCGCAACGGGTGCCCAGAATGCTTTCTGTCGCGCAGGAAAAAACAAAACTGTTTAGATTTGTTACAAAAATATCTTCACCAACTTTTATTCAATTCATAACATAACTATGGACGAAACATGACTTCACCGTAATGGCCCGGAAAGAAAATACAGTCCATGACTTAGAAGAGGCCGTCATATCTTCAATCAAAGAAAATTTAGGCGATTCTGCCGGTAAGATCAAGGGGATTTTTTTTTTATATAACCAAGGGGTGGTAATCATGGTGCCATTATTACGGAGACGGAGAAACCGGACAAATAACAAAGTTGCGTGGAGAAATATGCAACCAACAGCATGGCAAAGAATCACACAGTTGCGATGGCTGCCATTCAAAAAGCTAGCTTCGAAGTGGAACATCTTTCATATTCATCGAAACTAGCTCCTAGTAATTTCTATCAATTCCCTCTGACGATATAAATTTAAAGATGATGACGCATTAATCGCCGTGGTACCCGATTTTTTACGGGATCAGGAAGAAAATTTAAGTTTTTAAAAGAAAAATTTAGGGTTATATGTGTTTAATGGTTAAATGCAATATACAAAGTGTACCTATAAGTAAAAGGCAACTACGTCATTATCATTTTGACCTTAGTAAATATCGGGTATTGCGACTGTAGAAGAGTTGCTGCAGCTGGCACAGGACAGGAAACGCTTCCCGAGACTGATGGCCAACATCCAGGAATGGAGAGGCACCAAAGGAAGAAACATATTTTTTTTGTAAGACAGAAATATCCTTTACAGTAATTTATATTGAGGCTATCTTCTAATTTTGATCACCCTGTAATTGGTGTATCTTAACCAAACAAAAACAATAGTACAAATTAAAATCAAAGACAAAATATAAGTGTTTTATTACATTTATTAAAATATATAATTTTACTTACTACACATTATATTTAAAAAAAATAGCTTAAAAGGGTAATATTCTGTATTTGGCGTACGTACTCACTACATAACTGGATACTACTTGATGTGTTGCCTTGGTATCAATTCTACGTCTACATTAATAAGTCGCACCTGTACCTGCTCTTTTTTATACCTGATTCCTCCTTCTTTAATAGTACTTTTCACTGAATAGTGACGCAATAAATGTATCAGGCCAGCCTTAGTTTGAAGACTGGCATATCTCATACCAACACAAATTCTATTACCTTTCCCGAACGGCATGTACGTTGAATCAGCTATGGTATGTTTATTTTCTGGGGAAAATCTTTCAGGATCATATACTTCAGGATTGGCAAAATATTTTTCATCATGGTGAATTTCAAAAATTGGTGTAAAAATCTTTGTTCCTTTATCTACCTTTATATTGCCGACCGGAAGGACTGTGTCTTTTATGCATTGTCTTGTTAAGAAACCTATGGGAGGATGTAGACGTATTGCCTCACTCAATGCCATATCTAGAAACTTCATTTCATTAACAACATCGTAAGATATTTGATTGTTATTCAGTTGAAAATATTCATCGATTTCTTTATGAGCTCTCGCTAAATACTCTGGATGGCGTCCCAACTCAACTAGGGTTGAAAATATTGCGGTTGCTGTTGGTTCTACTCCAGCAACGAAGAAAAAGAAAGCTTGTGCAGCTAACAGCTCATCAGTTGGACTTAACTCTAAGCCCGTACTTTTATCAAACATATTACCAGCCTTTTGAATTTGAATGCACAAATCAGCAAAATCATGTTTTTTTGTATTTTCAATTTCTCGTTCTCTCAATATTTTCTTTATAGTACCAATAAAGAACTTTTCATGTTCTGTAAAAATATTAACGTTAAAAGCTTTAAATAATGGGGTACTTAAGCTTCCAAGAGCAAACTTAAAATTCTTCATCAAAGTGGGTTGGATAGCGTCTCTCGCCATATCAAGTAAAGGAGAATCGAAAATTGATTTTGAACTAACGCCAAACACGGCTGCCCCTATTGCAGCGCTGCAAAATGTAGATATTGTGTCAAATGTATCAGTTTTTAAAAATTGAGGATTTTTCTTCAATTCAGTTACAAAATCTACAGCACTCTTATCGATTATATAGTACATCGATTTTAGCTTGGAAGATGTAAATAGCGGAGTCATATTCTGTCGCATTAGTTTCCATCGATTTCCATTCATAAAAAGAATATTATCTGCGAGAAGATCGCTCTCATTAGTTTCCAGTCCTCGGTGATTGAAAGAGTTAAAATCCGATGATAAAACATGTTGAATATTAATTGGATCGATAACATACAAAGTCGGCGTCAGTAATGAACCAACTCCAACCGCTGGCTCACTTCGATGCTCCTTATACAATTCACACAGGTGTTCAAATAAGGCCTTATCCTTTGTTAGAAAGTCCCAGAAGACTCCAGTTACTTTGTTTCGAGGGTGAAAAGCAACATTCCGTCGTTTCCAGTAAATTTCATTGTATTTACCATTAAGGTAAATAAGAAATAAAATAGCGGCACCAAATAACAAGATAACTGCGATCATAGTCAGGTTATCAATAACACTAAGTGTCTACAGATAGTGGTATAATTTATAACCAATTATTCAAGATATGACAGTCATTATTTCGTTAAGATTAAATATAATTGACAACAAACACACTTATTGTGGAAGTGTACTTCAGTGTATGTCTGTATATCTTAGTGTACAATAACTTTTAGCGATAACTTTGTGCGCGAATAGCACTTGCTCTTTCGATAAGGAAAACATCGTGTGGAATCCGGCATATCTCAAACAAAACATTTGATGACATGTGTCAGGCACAGAAGGCTGACCATCTAGGTCTGTCTGTAAAATAAAAACGATCGAAAAACTGTAGGACGTAATCTGAAGCCAGGACATCTAGGGTTGTCGCGCCAGTGAATCACGTTTTGTATGACATTAATAAAAATAGTCCCCATTCATTTCTTCTTAAAGAAAACTACTTATTATTAGCTTTTAGTGTGTATGATATACTTATTACTTAGTCTGGCCATAGTTTTATGAAAAAGGTATCAAAACATCGGTACAAGTGTATCAAGATACCATTCTTGAGAAGGTAGTGAAGCCCCTTAACAACACCATGTTCAATAAGCAAGAATGGTCCTTCCAGCAATACTCAGCGCAGAGTCATAAAGCTCGGTCTATACGTATACAGTCTTTGTTGGAAACAAACGTTTCGTACTTCATCAGAGCTGAAGACCGGGCGTCGTCTAGTCCCGATCATAATCCGCTGGATTGTAATTTATGGTCAGTTTTAGAGAGTACGGCTTGCTCTAAACGCCATGATAATTTGGAGTCCCTAAAACAATCCGTACGATTGGTTGTGAAGAATTTTCCCATGGAAAGAGTGCGTGCTTCTATTGATAACTGGCCTCAACGTTTAAAGGACTGTATTGCAGCCAATGGAGACCACTTCGAATAACCTTTTTATATTTTAAATTGTTTTATGTTTATGTATTAAAGTAATACACTGTAAAAGTAATAAATGTTATTTGCAATAGAATTTTTTTTTCTTTGTTTCATTATTTATGGCAAGACTAGGTACATAAATATAAAAATTTTGCATATCATCATGAATCTTTCATTACGTTTGTTGTTATTATCAATTAAGTCGATTAAAGATAATTTTCTCTAATTCGTGTTTGCAAACTAGCTACTAGCTGTAGCTTTGCTTACAAAAGTCATGCTTTTGTTTTTAAAATAGAGATTTTCCTAGCTATATACACAATACACATGTAACTAGACTTTCCACACCTGACAGAAGTCTGTTATCGTTACGATGTTTTCTATAAGAGGCTCACCTGATGTTAAGTGATTCTGCCCAAAATGGACGACAATATTTTAAAATTTATTGAAAAATCTATTTATTTATATTTCAACAAGTTGTTGTTTAGTAAAACTATATATACTCATAGGACCATTATTATATTTTTGAACAATATAAACGAACAATACAGCCGTGGGAATATGAAGGTGTAATTGTTTGATACATAATATTTTTTACAATAATTACTCATTAATAAATTTTCCTTTACTAGTATATCAAATGCTGAGAAATAAACACCGTAATATGTCTGCCATATGACTGCCCCGTATTTCAGTCGCTTAAATAAAACTGCAGTTTTGTCTGAGTGGCTTGAGCTTGCGACCTTAAAACATGGGATTATGCTTCCAAATTCCGGCTGTGCCAATGGATTTTTCAAAATAAATTAGTCACAAAATATATTTACATTATTTAGAAATAATATCAAATATATACTGGCTCCTACAGTGTATACCTGTTTATTTTAAAAATACTCTCTTTATTTGGGTAGGTGGTAAAGGAAATTTTAAATATTACTGAATGCGACTTATTAGCCTATATTATCATCGTTGTTTTGTAGTAAATAACTACATTTTGTTTTCGAAAGCAAACAAAATACATAAACATTTTTGCCTCGTTTTCGTTACCAATGAAGAACGTCTTCGGCGCTTTTGAAGATAGTTATAGCTTAACATCGGGTAAGCCCTCTGGCATATAAAATCAAGGAATTTGTTCTATCTTAATAAAGGAAATCCTTTTAAGGAATATGTTTAGTAATAAATATTAATATGGATAATTTAAATATATACATATAAGTAAATATATTATGAGTCACCACCTCATTTACGTTAATTGGGGAAAATTAAACAAATATAAATATTTTCTTATTAATTTCGTAATCAAATTATACAATTACTTATTACCAAAAATAAACAAATGGTTACGGCACATGTTACTTACCAGTGGGTCAATAGTCATGCTTGGTTTATCATAAATGTATTATTTCGCGTCCCATTATAAATAGCAAAAACTTTTCCAAGTCACTGCGATTGATTCTTACTACGATGTTAAGATTTTGTTATAAATAATGTTAGAACAATAATTACTTTATTTATTTATTTATTACAACTTCGTTGCCTTACAATATAAAAATTGAACATAATTAAATGAAAAAGAGGGCAACTGGCGGCCTTATCGCTTTCGAGCGATCTCTTCCAGGCAACCACTGTGAGAAAAGAATTTTTTTTTATTAAATAAGATAAGGTAGGCAAGAAGTGCAAAAATACATATTACATATTTTGTTATTAAGAAAAATAAAACTAAGCAGTGTGCCAGTTTAGTTTTTTTGAACAAACTAAGCTAATAAAGGATACATGAAAAATAAAAAGTAAAAAGTGCACATAAACACGATTATTTTAGATCACTCACGTCGGTTAGTTGTTACTACGAAAGTTAGGGATACTATGCGGACAGGTAATGTTTGTACAAAAGAAATTTAAAGGAAGATAGAGAAGGAGCTAGGCGAATAGGGACGGGAACTGAATTCCATAGCCTAAATGCAGAGATCTTAAAGCATTCGCCAAGAAAGGAGGAGAGGAGATGGGATTTCTAGGATATAGTTTTCGGAAGAGCGTAAGCTATAGTTATAGGCTCCCAAAACATTTAAATCATTTTTGAGACAGGAAGGAGTTTTAGGGTTGAACAGGATGGAAAATAAGAGATGGAGAACAAAAGCATTATTATAAGAGATCGTGATTTTATTAAACTCTGGTCTAGACCCCGAAGACAAAATTAATGTTAAATTATTATTTTACAAAAATTTCGGTTTATTGACCTGAATAATTTTGTAAATACAAAACACTGACACTACATTGATTATAGTAAATGTTATCTTGATCATAATATCAACATTTTAGTGATCGATGCTGGATGTTTCTTTTATACTGTGCAACAGTATGCTGGACTCCTCATATCTTGTTTAAATTGAGCATTTCTGTTCCTCGAGGTATTATGTCCACTAAGCGCACTAAGGGTTCTATGCCCCACTGAACATAATGGCTGTGTTATCTGCTCACACGGTTACAAGAAGTACATTATTTTATCACTCTGTAATTGAATGCCTTTTATTGTATTTGTTTTGTAATATTCATCTTTATCTTCGTAAACTTATTATTTATAAGTATTATCATATTATAAGCATTATGTTTGTGCACGCCGGCAAGACATTTTCTCGAGGCCACACATTGTTTGGCGGCTATAAATAAATAAATCGATCCATTTTTTTGTAAATTTGTACACCAATTTAGATGTTGAGATTGCACAAAGTTCATACATTTTATTCTTATTCTATGTAAGGAAAAGAATAATACATAAGTATGAATACAAATGTTGAATTAATAGTAATTATTTTGACATAAATATATTTAATTGAGATACATGTTGGCGTGGTATTAATTCGACATCCACGTTATCCAGTCTCACTTGTACTTGTTGCTTACTGTACCTCATTCCACCATCTTCAATTATAGTTTTAACTGTAAAGTTACGCAATAGGTGTATAAGGCCTGCTTTAGTTTGTAAAGTGGCGTATCTCATACCAACACAAATTCTGTTTCCTTTTCCAAAAGGCATATAAGTTATATCAGCAATTTTATTTCTGTTTTCAGCAGAAAATTTCTCTGGCTTGTAAACTTCTGGCTCCTCGTAATACCTTTCATCATGATGAACTTCAAATATAGGTGTGAAAATTCTAGTACCTTTATCTACTTTAATATTACCCGTAGGAAGTACGGTATCTTTTACACACTGTCTACTTGAAAATCCAATCGGTGGGTGCATTCGCAACGCTTCGTTTAAAGCCATGTCAAGGAAGGTCATGTTGACTACAGCATCGTACGGCATTTCGTTATTATGTTCAGCAAATGACGCATCAATTTCTTCGTGTAATCTTGCTAGATGTTCTGGATTCCGTCCTAATTCAACTAAAGTAGCAAAAATTGCAGTTGCTGTCGGTTCAACCCCAGCAATAAAGAAGAAGAATGCTTGAGCCGCTAAAAGTTCATCCGTCGGTGTCATTTCGAAGCCCGTCTCTTTATCGACTAATTTGCCTGAGTTTTGTAGCATAACACAAACACGGAAGGAACAATTACGGAAGTGTCAAAATCCTAGGCGACATATTAAAAATGTTAGGGTGAGTCCACATCTGGCGAATGCGCCGCGAATGTGCAGCTCGCGAGCCGTTTGCGAGCTGCGCGCGTGCATTTTGTGTGACGTGGACGCACCCTTACAACAAAAATTATTATTAGGAGATCGTGATTTTATTAAACCCTGGTCTAGAGCCCGAAGACAGAAGAAATGTTAAATTGTTATTATACATAAATTTCGGATTATTGACCAGAATAGTTTTATTTATATAAAAACTGACACTACATAGATTATAGTAGGTAAATGTTTTCTTGATCATATTTACATTTTAGAGATCGTCTTAATTTAAAAAGTTGAAGTGTTAAAGCCCCTTCATTTTTGTAGGGATCCTATGATCCTATGTTTCTTTTAAACTGTGCAATGGTATGCTGGACATACCTCATATCTAGTTTAAATTGAGTATTTCTGAATCTAGAAGTTTAAGACATTTTTATCTCCACTAAGCGCACTAAGGTTTCTACGCCCCACTGAACAGAATGGCTAGAGTATGCAATCT